TATTTGCGCTTGTACGAAAGAACAAGGAGATTGTACCCGAACTTTGTGTTCATTGGTCTTCTCGACTTGTTCGTGCTAGATGCTTCGTACAATTGATAGCCCTATAGGTTATAATTAATCATTTATCTGTCTGTTGAGTAAATAAATTTTTTTTTATCTGTGCTTGTACGAAAGAACAAGGAGATTGTACCCGAGCCTTGTGTTCATTGGTCTTCTCGGCTTGTTCGTGCTAGTTGCTTCGTACCGGTTGATAGCCTGATAAATTTTTTATTTACTCTCTTGCGTGTTGTGCTTGCTTTCCTGTTAATATGGCTGTCAATCAATATGGCATGCTTCCATTTAACGGAAAGACAGATTTTGATATCTGGAAACAGAAAATCAAATGTGTGTTGATCCAACAGAAAGTCTATAGAGCCGTGACCGGTCTCTATTTAGACTCTGAGGATGCTGCTAAGCGTGTTGAGATGAATGAAACTGCTTGTTCCTCTATTTACCTAAACCTTTCTGATTCAGTGCTCAGGAAGGTGGGTATTATAGATTCCGCAAAAGAGTTGTGGGACAAGTTAGATAAGTTGTATACCGATACTTCTTTGCCTGGTAAATTGTTTTTGCTTGAGAAGTTCTTTAGGTTTAGGCTTGACCTGACCAAAGACATAGATGAGAACCTAGATGTGTTTAACAAGCTTATTCAGAACATTAAGCAAGCCGGTGATAAACACATAGATGACTACACACCCATAGTGTTACTTAATGCCATCCCTGACTCTTACAATGACGTCAAATCTGCCATAAAGTATGGTAGAGACGATATCTCGTTAGATATAGTCGTTAATGGATTAAGGAGTAAGGAGTTAGACCTTAGACACTCGAGGGGTAGTAACAGTCAATCTAGGGATTCTGGTGAAGCGTTGCTTGTGAGGGGTAGGTCTAAGAGTAGATCTAGAAACCATAAGAAGGGTAGCAACAATAAGAACCAGACCAATAACAATGACCCGGGGAAGAAGAGAGGTAAGTCTAAGAAGAGAGTGTGCTATAATTGTGGTAATTCTAGTCACTTCATTAAGGATTGTCCTCATCCTAAGAAGTCTGAACATGCTAATGTGGTAGATGATAATAACTTGCATGAAGAAGTTTTTATGGTCTGTGATTCTGCAAATTCTGTGTTGAGTAGCATGACTGAAAATGAGTGATTGATTGACTCTGGTTGTACTTATCATATGACACCTTTTAGATCTCTGTTTGCTTCTTATGATTCTTGCAATGATGGTTTTGTGTCTCTTGTTGATAATAAGAAATGCAAAATACATGGGGTGGGTGATGTATGCTTAAAGTTTGATAATGGGACTGTGTTTACTATGAAAAATGTGAGGCATGTCCCTGATTTGCGTCATAACTTGTTTTCTGTCGCTGCTTTTGAGGGTAGTGGGCTTGAGGGTAAATGGGGAAATGGGTGCATGAAAGTTTTGAAAAATTCCCTTGTTTTGTTTAAGGCAAAAAAGGTGAATAATTTGTATGTGTGCCATGCTCAGCCTTTCTGTGATTCTGCTCATGTTGTTAGTTCTGATAAAACTGCTTTGTGGCATAATAGATTAGGACACATGAGTAATAAGGGTTTAGAGATTTTGCATAAATCTGGTTGTTTTGGTAAGGATTCTGTGTCCTCCATCCCTTTCTGTGAATCTTGTGTGTTAGACAAGCATCATAAGGTTACTTTCCCCTCTTCCCCTTATCCTAATCCCACTAAGTGTACCTCTGTGTTAGAGTATGTTCATGCAGATGTGTGGGGTCCTGCTAATGTCTCTACCCACGGGGGTAAGAGATATTTTCTGTCCATTATCGATGATTTTTCTAGGAAGGTGTGGGTCCGTCTTCTTGAGCATAAGTCCGATGTCTTTGTGAAATTTAGGGAGTGGAAAACCCTGGTAGAAAATCAAACCGGTAAGATGGTCAAAACCCTTAGGACCGATAATGGATTAGAGTTTTGCAATAAGGATATGGACCAACTCTGTGTTGATTGTGGGATTAGAAGGCACAAAACTGTGCCCTATACTCCCCAACAAAATGGGATAGCAGAGAGAATGAATAGGACTGTTCTAGATAAGGTTAGGAGTATGCTTGCCACCTCCGGTTTGTCTAAAAAGTTTTGGGGTGAAGCAGTCAATACTGCTGTCTACTTGATTAACCGGTCTCCTTCTGTTCCCTTGGGTGGGAAATGCCCTGAATCTGTTTTTTCAAACAAGCCCCTTGATTTGTCTAATCTTAGAGTGTTTGGGTGTGCTGCGTATGTGCACCAACAAGGTGACAAATTGGATCCTAAGTCTAAGAAAGGAGTCTTCTTAGGTTATCCTGAGGGTGTGAAGGGGTACAGGGTTTGGGATAGGAACCAGGTAGGTTTCAAGGTTGTGGTAAGTAGAAACGTTGTTTTCAATGAATCCGAGTTCCCTTGTCTGGTTAAGTCAGTTCCTGATTCTGAGTCGAGCCCTAGTAGTACACCTGTTGAGGTGGAGTCCATACCATATGCTGCTAGTCCTTTGTTTGCTAATCATGATTCTTCTAATTTGCATGATTCTTCTGAATTGCATGATTCTTCTGAGCATGATAATACCACCACTTCGAGTGAGGTGGAGCATTCTCATGTGCATTCAAATGACAATGAATCGCATGATGAGAGTGCTGATCCTAGTGATAATGTTTTGCATGATTACCAACTTGTTAGAGATAGAAGTAGGAGAGAAATTAGGAGAACTGCTGATAGCATGCCTGATTTTGCTTTCCATGCGTGTGATACTTCTATGTTTGCTTTCTCTGTGTTTGAGACCCTTGAGCTTAACGAACCTAAAACCTATAGGGAGGCCCTTAAGTCTAATGAGTCCGTTAAATGGCTTTGCGCCATGGAGAGTGAGATGGAGTCACTTAGAGCGAATAAGACTTGGACGTTAGTTCCTAGACCACCCAATAGTTCCGTCGTTGAGTGTAAGTGGCTATTTAAGGTTAAGGAAGAGCCTAACGACATTAGATATAAGGCTAGGTTAGTAGCTAAGGGTTTTACTCAAAAGGAAGGTGTTGATTATGCTGAAATCTTTGCTCCTGTTGTTAAATTCACTACGATTAGAATGATGCTTGCTCTTGTTGCTCATAATGATTGGGAAATGAAGCAAATGGACGTCACCACTGCTTTCTTGCATGGTGATTTAGACAAGAAAATCTATATGACCCAGCCTGAGGGCTTTGTGGATCCCATGAAGAGTAATCATGTGTGTTTGCTTAGGAAGGCCTTGTACGGCCTGAAGCAGTCCCCGAGGCAGTGGAATATCAAATTTGACCAGTGCATGTCATCTTTGAAATTTCACAAGTCCGAGTGCGACCATTGCCTATACTTTAAAAATACTTCTTCTGTGCCTGTATTTTTATTGCTTTATGTGGATGACATGTTGATTGTTAGTCCTTCGGGTGACGCCATTAAAGGTGTGCAAAAGCGTCTCAGTGAGAACTTTGCAATGAAAGACCTAGGTGATGCCAAGAGGATCCTAGGCATTAACATTGTTAGGGATAGGAGTAAGCGTGTGTTAGTACTCAATCAGATTTCATACATTGAAAAGATTTTGAGTAAATATAACATGCATTCTGCTACTACCGTCTCTATCCCTATGGCGTCCCACTTTGTGTTAAGTAAGGATCAGTCTCCCAAGACTGCTCCTGAAATTGCTAAAATGAAATCTGTGCCTTATTCCAATGCTATTGGGTCCGTGATGTACCTCATGGTGAGTACTAGACCCGACATTGCCAATGCTGTTAGTTGTTTGAGTAGGTATATGTCTAATCCTGGTTTGCCTCATTGGAATGCTCTTAAGTGGTTGCTTAGGTACTTGAAATCTACTGTTAATCATGGGTTGGTTTTCACTAGGTGTTCTGAGGGTGTTAAGTTGAGCGGGTATGTGGATTCAAATTTTGCTAACGATAGAGACAATAGGAAATCCACTACCTCTTATGTGTTTACCCTTTGCGGGTCTTACATTAGTTGGAAGTCTCAACTTCAACCCATAGTTGCCCTTTCCACTACTGAGTCCGAGTATGTGGCCGCTACCGAAGCTTTCAAGGAAGCCATTTGGCTTAAACGTCTCCTAACGGAGATTGGTAGTCTTAATCAGGATATTTGTGTGTTTTCTGATAGTCAATCTGCTATTCAACTGTGCAAAAACCCTGTTTTTCATGATAGAACTAAGCATATTGATGTTAGATTTCATTTTATACGTGATATTGTTAGTGCAGGTGATATCAAGTTGATTAAAATTCCATCTGAATTTAATCCTGCTGACATGGGGACAAAATGTCTCTCTGTCGAAAAGTTGTTGTCGTGCAAGCGCACGTTGAACATTGATTGCGGTTAAGTTGCCTGGTGATCTTACCCCTTTGCCTGAATGTGTCTTTGTGATCATTCGGGCAATCCAGCGATGATGAGTCTCAAAATTGTGTTAGAGCCTTGACTCTAAAACCACTATAGTCCAATAAGGTGGAGATTGTGTTGGTATTGGCCCTCTATTCCCTAAGCCCAACCCATTTTGTATGTACCCGGCCCATAATCAACTTTACCGATTGGCTGTCTCTTGGCCCATAATCCTTTTGCCGATCGGCTCTCTTGGTACGAATTGATTCTTTCCTTCCCTGAACTGTGCGATAGCTTCTTCCTGGTGCGATTTTTGGGAGCATCTGTGTGTAAGGTAAGTTACCTTCTACACCTTTCTCCTTGGCCTATATATTTCACTCGTCTTCCGCTGTTTTGTGAAGCCGAAACCCTTGCTTCTCTGATTACAGCCTCTCTGTGGGTGCTCCTACGAACTGGCCGGAAATAGCCGCTGGCCGACGCCCCTCTCTCCCCTTGTTGAGCCTTGTGTGTGAAATTCATCCTTTGTGGATGAAAGTGGTTGAGACCTGAGCTGGATATTGAGTACTTACAACTAAGACTAAAAATATACAAACCAATTATAACTAATACACTAATAAAGTAAAAACATCTTGCAACAATGTATATTTGATAGCATAAAGCACCATAACAGATGCTCCGGGACGAATCTTTTGCGATCGTGGCTAATAATCATTCATGGCCATGTTGAAGGAAAATGTGTTAGAAAAGAGAACAAGGAGTCTAATTCAAATTGTAAAGTGCGAGTGTCAAACAAACTCTAATCTCGAACAAATTTCAGTACAGGTGAGAAGCGAGGGAAAAACGAACTCCAAAGTAATCCAGAGATTTGTTTATTTCAACCTCACTGTCCTTTTCTTACTTCATGAGAGCATTTCATTATGATGAGGAAAGGTTTGAGGAAATAACAAAGAGAGATCGACCATTCAAAAGCTCCCACGTGTCAGAATTGGAGAGTAAACATAATTTGCTGGCATGAAGAATCCGAATACTAATTGGCCAACAAATTGCACACTTTCAAGTTCAAATGACAAATACAAACCAAGTGGTGCTCTATGGCGAGTTTCAGGTTTCAAGCAAAACCAGTAAATAGATACCAACTTATCATACACCATAAAGTAGGTGTGAACTGAAGAAACTTCAACTATGACGCAGATTTATACACTTTCACATGCACCCAGAAATCTTATCTCCAGTCAGGCAATTTTGTGTCAAATATCTTGACCCGAAAGCAAACAGGAGCTCATATTTAGCTTCATCATTCAGGGAGCAACCATTCACACTTCTCTTATCACAGTGCAATAAAAATTCCAAGATACATAGCGTGTGTAACAGAACTTGATAGAGAGCATAAAAAAATTCAAAACTCAGTTACCGGGAGGTTAGTTGACTTATCAGCAACTCCGTTGAGGCTAGTTTTGCTGATAATCCCCTTCCCAAAATATTTTGCAATAACTGAAAATCCATCCTTTGAATTTTTAACCTGCTGGAAGAAGTGATCATGGCTTTTAGAACTTTGCTCTAAGCTTCTCTTTTTCTCAATAATAGCTCTGTACTCTGGAGCACACTCAGGGCATTCCTTCTCATTGTCACCAAGGCAACGCTGATGAAATGAGTGCATACACATGAAGTGGACGGCAGGTAGGTCAAGGGTGAATGTGCAAGCAGTGCATTTGCTGAGCTGAAAGATTCTGGCATTAGTCCTAAGATCTTGGATTTCTTTTCTCATTGTAGATGTCTCTTCCTGCAAATTTTCAAAGGTGGACTTCAGAACACTTTTTACTGTTCAATTGAAGAATAGTAAATTTTATAAATTTGAGGGACCATTCCGCAATTTATTTTATGGGTCAGCAGGGGATACTGGAAACCTAACTGTAGATGTATTGGGCTTAAACCACTTTGTACTAAGTGTAGCAATATATACACCTCCTTGCATAATCCTTTATTCAACACATAAATATAATAATAATTATTATTATTATTATTATTATTTATTATTATTATTTAATATTTATTATTATTAGTTATTATTACTACTATTATAATCATTATTATTATTATAAGAAGAAAAACAATAACAACAATAACAATGATTATCAGAATATATATCAGTAGAGATTCATCAATTGCCAAACTTGTATTCTATGGAAATTAATCTTAAAATACTGGACAATATAATTCTAGATCCCGATTCAGCAAGTAGATATCAGTAGAGATCATCAATTGCCAAACTTGTATTCTATGGAAATTAATCTTAAAATACTGGACAACAAAATTCTAGATCCCGATTCAGCAAGTAGATATTAAAAGTCATCACATACTCTATGCTCAGGAGGGATCAAAAGGTGATTTATATATAATCAAGTCCCTCACATATTTGAAACATGTATGTCAACTTAAGTGAGTTGGAGAATACATGTTGACCTGATGCTTTTCAATAGCTCTCCTATCTTCTTCAATCAACTTGGACTCTTGTTCCAGCTTACGAGCTATATAATCTTTGATTACAGAGAGTGTAAGGCATGGATTTCTCGACAAAGTCTGCAAAACAATAATAGGAGGCAAGATATCATCCCTTTCAATATAAGTTAATACTTCTTTCACTTCTTTGGAACAGTTTTCCCCTAGTTCACCAAAGTACTTCAATACTTCTGCCCAAAGAGAAGGATCGCCACCTTTACCCGAGTCACCAAGCCTCTTGCAGCAAGCAATTAAACCCTCATGATCGTGTGCCTGCATGTAGCACGCAATAACCTCTTTGTAGAGTTTCATCCTCTCATAAAGAAATAGCAATCCTTCCCTGAAGCCATTCATTTCGCACAATATTATGGCAAGATCAACGTCATATTGTGGTTGTTCCTCTTCGGAAGGCCATCCACTCTTAAGCAAGTACAGCCCCTTCTTTCGTCTTTCTTGGCGTCTTTTATCTTCACTTTCCTCCTTTTTATTTAACTCTCTTCTCCCGTTAACTCCTGTTGTTCTTTCTTCTCTAGCATTTCCATTTTCACCAATACTAGTCAGTGAGATTGATGGGAAATCGATGTCATGACACAAGTATAGTTCCAAAAGTGTGTTATGGATTTCCACTTGAGCAGGTGAGTCCTTAACTTTGCTGGTATACTGTTCAAGGAACTCCAACAGTGAATGTGGGTAGTGAACAAAAATATTGAGAAAATCAATGGGAGATGGTAACATGGAAACATATGTAAGACTATTGGAGATCTTCTTGCCCGCTTCTCCTTCTTCTGTGCAAAGCCTCATCAATATCTCAATGGTTTCAATAGGCTTGTGCTCTATAAGAATTTTCCCATACTCTTTAACTGTCACGCCAGCCTGACTCAGTTCAAGGCTAGTAATATATTGCAATGCTTCGTCATATCGACCAAGGTCTTCAAGCAAGATCTTTAAGTACCACTCATGTCGACCGGTCTTCTTAGCAACATACATAGCGTGTTCATAATAATTAGCAGCCCGACATACCCTTATTGCAGTTTCCACATCAAATTTATGCTCCCCAACCGCATCCTCATCACATTTAATGAATACATTTAGCTTCTCAACATCTTTCAGTTTAGTATAACAATTCAACAACAAGGTAGTATGGTCTTTTGAAGCAAGCCCTTTCTCATGCAACTTCTCCAAGTAATTGGTAAGGTTGTAGATTCTTTGTGCATCCAAGAACTTCTGTATGACATATGAAGGTTCAAGATGGCCAATGGTGTGAATATATTGAGCCATAGCTTCATCATATTCCTGTTTAGCATATAAATGATCCCCATATTTCCTTAACACCTCAGCTGTGGCAGCGGCATCAGCTTGTTGACTCTGGACTAGGTTAATAGCTACATTATAAAGGTTCTTTTTGAAAAGCATATCTAGCTTACTCTCCATATCCTTTTCACCTATGCATAAAACAGATTTATCTTCCATTATGAGAATTATGTTACCCCATTCACAAAGCATGTGAGAAACCTCATTGATGACCACACTATGGGCAATTAACCGGTTCTTCAGATCATAAACGTAAAAAGTATTCTTCCCAGTTCTTTGATCAGCAATAACGCACAGAAGGTATCCACGGAACCATCCAAGAAGCTTTTTCTCACCTTCAAAGGCCCAACAAGGACCCCGACCATCAACCTCATAGAAGTACACAGCCTCTCGTCGACCGATTATTAACTCCTACAAGAGAATAGCTTAAATTTAAAAGCTTTGTACTGAAAATTCACACATAACGTAGCATCAACTTTAATGCAATAAAAAAATGAAATTAAACTGTTAATTGGCTCACCGAGCGGTCAGTCATTGCAACACTAGGAACAGAAGATCCAATCTGATCAAGAGTCTGCTGGGAAGGGGGTTGAGTCTGGAGGTTGAATATGCTGACTGATTGAGGAGTGACAGCAAACAACAGGAGGGCCTGGCCATCCACTCTAAATCCAAGGCCAGTAATGGAAGCACGGCTTTTATCAGAAGGATTATCTACCTGGAGGCTAAAACGCTTTATACGTTCGCGTGCTATATCCCCTTGGATACAATAGATGCAACCATTGTCTAAACCGATAACAATGAATAAAATAGGAGGAGCTTCCTCTATTACCAAAAAAGAAGTGATCTGCATTGAAGATTTGGTGTTAATTACTGACTCTATAGTAAAACATGACAGCAAAATATAAGTGCATAAGTTATACTCCCCCTGGTCTTACCCTTAAGGTGCACCTTTGACACTTGCAAAAACTAAAAAATAATTAAAATAGTCTTAGTTTTCATAATATGTCTTTATTTAATACTACTTCGTTGTCCTCCTCCATCATGACTTCATTAATATAAGGAAAGTTGTGGAGAACAATTAAATTTGCACTGATATTTTAAAAATGAATCATATTTAGGACTACGCAGTTGCACCCCATAAATAGAAAGGGGGAATACGTATATAAAAAATGAAGTTGTGATGACCTTTGCTTCAGGAAACTGATTGGTGAATATCCTCAAAATTTGAATACAATCCGGAGTTGATGTACTTGACCCCTCTTCTTGTGTCTTATCGAGGTCAAAAACTTTTAGACATGCAGCTGATACCTGAGGAGATAATCGCTCATCTTCTCCGACTGTTAGCAAGAAATTCCGTTGCTAATTTGACCAGGAAGGAGAAAAGAAGGTCAGTAGCTAGCATTCGGAGCAATTTATTTCTCCAAAGTTGGGCTATATACAACCATATAAGTTAAAAGAAAAAATACTTCATTTTTTTCAATATAGATGCATAATAGGTTGCAGATACAAATGTAGAGAAGTGTTCACTACGAACTCACATTAACTCACCCATACACGTGGTGATGCATCTAAACATGTGTGGCTTGTACTTTGCCATCTTTTTTTTTCATACTTTCCTATCCGAGGAATGAAAGGCAAGCCTTTCCAAGTAGTAAGCTACGCTCAATTAATAAAATTTGAGCAGAAGAATTCAATTATTTACAATCCGTACTTGGTATTTCAATATATCACTCTAAAATCTACATCCTATTGTGGAAATTGGAATGTGGAAATTGGAATGCACTGCACTAAGATTTTCATTTTCACATTGGAAAACAAACGCCTGAGCGACTACAAAAGTAGTTTCGCAGATCATTCTCACATTAACTCTTGAGCAATTACGGGGATTCTTAAAGACATTTGGGGAAAACTAAATAATCAGAGGTGCGAATGAAGAAACCTTGAGCTGGTGAAGGAAGAGGACTGATGAAGAGTGAGCTTGGAAGGAATCGTTGAGCTTGAGGCCTCGATCCAGAAGAGAAACGGTGCCGTCATCGCAGCCAACGACTATCCTACCTCTACCGCCGGCGCAGCACTCGATCTTCCCCGTTATCTCTTCCGCGCACGGCAATTTCCCGGCGTACTTCTCCTCGAAAAACTCGAATTTTCTCCATTGATACATCTCCCTGGTTTCCTGCTACTTTAAAAACTCGACCGTATACCGAGCCGGACCCTTCGAACATCTGAGATGGGCATATATATATATAGCTATCGGAAATGCATATATATATATATGTGCGCATATTGAAGAAAATTCTACATTGTGTAGTATATGATAGAATATGTAGCTATCGGAAATGCATATATATATACATCGATAGAATATGTATCAGGGTCTTTCTATGTAAATGATGTATAATGGGTCTATTGGTCTACGAATCATTCTCCCTACAACACGTTATCGACACGTAGCCCTATACCTATTTTTTTCTCCCGTTCTCCCTACACTCAATCCGCAGCCGCGCCTCCAGCAGTCCAGCCGCGCCGCCAGCAATCCAGCCACGCTTGGCCGCCTCCCAACATACCGACCGTCGCCCGGCCTCCCCCCTTCCTAGCCTGCGACTCACCAATTCCCGGATCTCTGTTGAGGTATTTTTTTACTCAAAAATCATTGCAGGATCTTATGTATATGATTTATTGCATCATGTTTACCATTGTGATGAACATCATTGATTTTTTTTAGAGATTAAGTTGTCAATTTTTTGAGATCCATTTCTTGCACCCCAAGTGTTTGATGATATGCCTCACCCATTTTTTTGAGAGATAGATGCAATTTTTTTATTATAATTCCGTAATGCTATATGTTATAATCATATAGTTGGAATTAATATCATATTATGCATCCCTCTTCGTTTTTATACATCTATGTGATCATACTTTTTCGTAAAACTATATGCCATATACATATAGTTGGAATCAAAGATCACACGATTAATCTTATTTTCATGTATTTTATATGATTATATGATTATACTTTCCGTAAAGCTATATGTTAGATACATATAGTTCGAATTAAAATCATATTATGCACTTTTTAATTATTTTAAACATATTATGTGATTATATTTTTCCGTAATGTTATATGTCACTTACATATAGTTGGAACCATAATCATGTAAGATTACTATATTTTATGCCTAATCCGTTCATTAGACCAATATTAATACTTTCTATATTAAAAACACCATATAACACCCCATAAAAATCTCTATGATTTTTTTTAAGGAGGTGTATATATCTCCTCACTTCGATGCATTGTAAAATATTGTCTACAAAGAGACATACTCTCATGATTAATTTTTTGTGATAAAAAATTTTCACACAAAGAATCGATTTTGTTTATACACAAGTTTCTGTTTTATATCATATGAACTACACAAGTTCATGAATGTACTCATGATCATGTAATTTTTTGTAAGATGGTTGACCATCTCAACTTGTATTTGGCATTTTGGCCTCGGACGGATTTGAGTACCATTATTCAATTTTCTATATTAATTATTTGTGTGATAAAGAATTTCCACACAAGGCTCTACAAATTTAATTGACCAATCAATTTGACCGGAGTTTGACATTATGCACTCAAATGAACTTGAGTATCTTCAACGCTTATTTTAGAATTCAATGCTACTCCGGCACACTTTGTGAAAAGTAAATCACAAAAGCTTATTTAATTTGATAGAAGAAAAATTAATCATTTTTACACATACTTCTCTAGACATATACTAATGCACCAGTATATATTAAATAATTATGTAACTAACTAGCTTTTAGCTGGCACTAGTGAATGATGTTTATTGTTATTGTGTCTTTTTTTTGAAATGCAATTACAATATTTTTTTGGGAATAAAGAAACATCCCAAGAGTTATTTGGATAAAGAAATTTCCAAATAAAAAAAAATTGAAAATATAAATTTTAAAGTAAATCCCTTAATATAAGAGGATTAAATGTGATTATCTCGTCAGGATATATATAACTTGAAAATATACTTTTAATTTTTATCTTCGTAGAATCTCTAAAGAATAAGAGATTCACCGCGTGAGAATATAAATTAAGTTTCATGATTGTCTACTATTTTGAGAATAAGAACACTCTCTAATTATTGGGTTTATCCATTTTTTATTTTACTCTTTCATGAGTTTTAAAAATATGAACATTACTAATTCTAATTAGACTTTTATTCAAGTCTTACAGTTTGGTATAAATTATATTCGTTTGAGATTTTTAATTAATTTAACATCTCATTGTTCCATCTGAAATTATATTTGAGATGTTTATGCATTCGAATTCATTACACGCATATCTTTGAATTTTATTCATAAAAGAATGGATACAAAGGAATATATCCACAAAATAGTAGAATGATATGTACCACAGTCAACTTGGGGTCATAGCACTCTAAGGTATATGGGTGACATTTGTAAATTATTGAAATCTGTGACAAATAGGTGATTTAACACATTGTGGTGATGTACAATAAATTAAGGAATATATTTATCGAAGTAATCCTTAAAATCAGTTATGATTGAAACAATTGTATCCATGTCCTCACATAGGATGGAGTCATGTCATGAGTTTGAATCTGGTGACCAGTCTCTTGTCAAAGTAACATGAATGACTTTATATACCTTTGTGGGGCTTCCCTGAACCCTCACAATGTGAGGACGCCAATGTCCACCGAGGTACCCTCAATGTTTTTTTTTACATAGAATCTCGCTATAAAAATGAGAGAAAATATTAGATTGCATCTAATAAATGCAAAAGAAAATGCATATTTAAGTAGGTTATGAGTCAAAGTGGTCATTGACTCATACAAACTTTGAAATAACTCATTTAGGTTATTAATTATTCGAATAAAGGATGATATGAGATCCAACACAATGTAAATTGTTGGTTTTAGCATTGATATATAGAAAAACAATATCAATCTTCTAAAGTACGAGAAAAAATATTTACCTTTCATTATGCCTTACAGATATAGTAGAAGACACGTCAGTTATTTCTTAAAGTTTACTCCTTAGCAAAAATAGAATCGAGACATGTCCACATATGCTAAGGAAATAACAATAAAGATATCTCATTTTTTCAATACAATGTGATATGTGATGACTCATCTACCAAAATGTGGGCCATTTAAGTGATTATGGTTTGGTAGAAATTTACTCATGCTGTCTATTTTGCTGTTGCATAAAAATGTTGCATTTGCAAAACTTCTAGCAAAACTTGTTTATTTAAGGCCCACCACCCGACCAATCAAATCTATATGACTTGTTACGGCTAGATAGTTCTCATCAAAAATACTTGATGATTATTGCATATATGTCGAGATCAATGAAAAGATCTCGCATCCCATGTGCAAAATAAGATCTCAATGAAACTCACATTTAAAAAAATATATATGATGAATGTTATATCTACTATGCACATGTGTATATATAATTATTTTCATGGGATTATGCAATATTGCAAGCACTCCTGCACATTTGTTTTTAAACCGATACTAGACAACCACGTTTATGTATACCAGTTGGTGACTGGATATTAGCCTGAGATGTTCTACTTATGAATATGTGGTTGTTAAATAGTTGTGCCTATTGCGTCTCCCACAACGCATTATAATCGGTTTTAAAAGAAAAATGATATTTATGTTGGATATGAATCCCCAACAATAATCCGCTACTAGCCTTAACAAATAATGTGTACACCGCTTTGCGGGATATGACTTTAATGAGACAATTGATTTTCCTATCATTAGGGGGAGATTAGAGAAAGAACTCTCTAATTGAATGAAAAAATCATTACGATGGTACATCACTACTTTGTCTCAATGATAAATCTTAGACTTCAAAATGTAACATTGAAGTTAAAGTGGTATCATAAATGATTTAAGTAATCAGATTATACACACTAGCTGCAAACATATTTATAAGGCTTGAATTTAAATTAAAAGAAACAATGCTAAAGGAAGAAACATTGCAATCACAAGCAGTGGGGTTGTGGTTGAGGTCGTGGCTCTCTAAAGGAATAGAGGGAAGCCACATGGTTCGATTAATTATCCACCCCAAGTAGTAGAGGGTAGATATGGCACAAACCAATATACTCGTCATCATATGAATTCCTCTCATGAGATTATCTCTGATTAAACATGTCCATGAATTTATAATGGGGGACGCCCCGAAGTTTAAATGATTTCAGCGAATTAAAATCTCAATGTTAATGAGAGTGTGTATGAGTCGAATGATAGACCTTACACTTATACTGACGATATATTTATATAGTTGCTCAAAGGAACATAGAGCACGATGATATCGAACCATAATCTATTGCAATATGAAAGCAATGAGAATATTGGCCTAAATGTGTACAAGTAATCCAGGTATAAAATTTAATATTTGACAAAGAGACAGGTATTTGGTATGATAGTGCTAATCAACCAAGTGTAAAGCCTGTAGGACATGAAATAATTCTTTGTTAGAAAGTGTACTGAGATAATGAGGTCCTAATTATTCTCACAATGCCCTGGATTCAAATATGAAAAGTTATACTTCTCTATTTTGAACACAAAAACGTTCAACTACTTAATCTATAAGTAGACTCCAAAGTAATGGAGATGCAGCTAAAGATTGTGGATATTAAATGTCTCAATAGAATTTCATTAAAGAGATGTATATGACGTATTTTTTTTATATTTTTATTATCTTTAATCAAGTGGTTTTAAATTACATTGTATATTTACATTGAAACGTTCACATTTGGATTAAATCAATCCAGAGGAGGGTGACATACCCGTCTAAGTGACCACTTGACTGAAAAGGGATAGAGAAAGATAGATTATGCTTTCCCTTCAAGTATCATTATATGTCGAAGATATAGACATGGTATGTACTCATATTAAAGAAAATGAGAAATCCTATATACTTGAAAGTCATTATTGAGATAAAGGATCTTGGGAAACTCGGGTTGTTTTGAAAACACCGAGTTGGTTGAATAATAATTCACCAATTGCATAAATCCAAAAGGATTCTCAGGCAAATTAACATGGATAAATGTAAACTGTTAGCACTCCCATTATTGGTCGAAATATGGATGCTAGAAAATATATCCATTATTGGAAAATCATTGGGAGAAGGAATTCCCTATGAAAGTGCAATATGCGCATGATTGTACTTTGACAAACACATTCGACCAAATAATACATTCTCAAGAACTGTTAGCTGAAAATAGCTTAGGACCAATACATCATCATTGAAATAGTATCAAGAATG